TAATAAGATTAACATCTCTAATCTCTTTCAAAATATCCTAAAGGACATACACATTAATGTAATTCTTCCAAATAAATTCTTTCATTATTATCATAACAAGTTAAACAATTTGAAAACATTGGACCATTACAAGTTTAACAACTATAATGACAATCTAAATATATATAATATTAATACTATATTCAATATTTAAATCTTCATAATAATTTGATAGAAAATAAAATCCAGCTACTTATCCTTTCATCTTTTCATAAACAGTGTAATCACTTCCAAAAATAGCATGATATTTTGTATTAATAAATAAACTATTATATTTCATATTTCCTAAATAATAAGTGCTAGATATCAAATTATTATTCTCAAAATAACTTAATTTAAATTAAGACCTTTAATCATTTCTATTTATTCCATGTTCAAATGAAATAAAATGCCATTTAGATAATAATTCTAGATAAGGCAAATCTTCTCTTAAACTGATTATATCATCCTATATATATTATTCTAATGGTCCAAGATATGGCATAGAATAATGATGGGATATGATATCATATCCACATTTTGTTTTGTCTGATAAATCTATATCTACTGTAATTTTTAGTATTTCATCCCCTAAATTTATTTCATCTTAATAATTTTTGAAAATTGTCAATCTCACTATAAAATACTTTTTTAATTAATATGCTTCTTATGTATTATGTTTAACCCATCCAAAAATACAAAATTTTCTTCCAAATTATTCAAATTCAAAATCTTTTTATGCTACTACATCAAAATTAAATATATCTGGAATCAAACTTATTGTTTATTAATATTCATTTTCTCTTAATTAAGATATTCTCTCATAATATATTGAGTAAATTTGTTTTTAATATGGAATGATAAATAATTTTGAAAGTCTTCCTCTAAATATTCCTAATTCATATCTTTGATTAATCTAAAATTAATTAAATTAAAATTACAATTCCAGATCCTCCAACATAAAATTCCAAATTTTATATTTATTTTTATACATTGAACTAATATATATTATAATCTTAAGTTGTTCCTAACGTTTCAAAGTATATTTATTATCCAATTATAGTCATAACACTTAATATCCAAATCCCCTCATACTGACTTGGGTTATAATATATATCAACCATATTTTCATTGACAAGCAAAGTATGATAGACAAAATATTCTGTTATCACATTTGTATACATAAAAGCCAACACTTGATTATCGTATTATGTTTTGATCAAAAATAATAGCTATCTTTTTATTTAAGTTTTATCGGGTTCTTTTTCCACCCAAGGGTAGGAAATCACTTACCAATTTGTTATGTAAAAACTCCAAAATTCAAATTATAATGGTTATTAAATCCATGGAATATTATACATCTCCATTGGATATGAATTACTAATCAATAAATTCTCGTTGAATTAAGAGCAAATTGTTAAACTAATGACTATAGGTAGATAAAAAGAAGATGTTTTAACGTTCATATCCTTTTAGCCTTATTTAATATGATTATTAATTATTAAATCAAAACCTGAATTAAATAAGATTTTCAGTGTCACAATTATAATAAATAATTAGAAAAATAGTTTTCTTTTTTTTATTATTTATTCAATGATTACATATGCAATTGCATCTTAATATAAGTTAACATAATCAATATTCTAATTATGATTTAATTCCAAAAGAAATCATATTAGATAACTAAATATTATTGATTTTCAAAAAACGAAAAATTATCTAAAACGTTAGCTTTTCCAAATTATATTTGAATTAAATTAAAAAAGAAATATATTTTATAAAATTATCTGACTAAATAAAAATAATCATTTAATCATATATTAAATAAACAATATACTAATATTTTTATTATTTAGGATATTTGAAGTTGATGAAAGCATTTATCAATTTTGAAAAGCCTATTTAGACTTTCTAATTTCTAAACAAAATAAATATTCTTTTCAATTCTACTTAATTAATGCATTCTAAGTAAGAAATTTTATATGAGACATTCAATTTATCTAAAGTAATTACAATTAAAGTTTGATACACAGAGAGGCTTAAGCATTTGAGTAAATTTTATTATAATTATTTTTAAAGTCAAAAGACGGACGATTAATATAAATTTTTTTATTTTACACTCCTGTTAATTGAAAGTCAATATAATTACACAACATCTTATATGAGTATTTTAAGAACTGATTTTTAGTGGATATTTTCAAATCAAAACCATTTTAAAATATCCTTTTTGAGAAGTGAGTGGATCAAGATTAATAATTATTGGTTCCTTTTTTTAGGTTATGGATAAATATGTATTCAGCACCAAATAAAATCAATTGTAAATTTTTGGACTTTTATATTCAATATCAATGATTATATTAATCCATTTTCCTGAAAATTTATTTATGGTAAAAATTGGATGCTTTCAATTTTAAATACTCTAATATCAAGAATGTATTCTTGTTTAATGCTCTATTCAGATATCTCAGTTATAAAAAATAAGTAAATAAAAAATAGCAATAAATCAAATATTAAAAAAGTCAAATTGAATAAGAAAAATATTAGGCACTTACTTCAATTCTTTATTATAAAAATTAATGATGCTTTTTATTTTTTTAATATAAAGATTTAAACCAAAAAAACAATTTTTATCATATAATTTTTATGTTATAGACTTATAATGTCTTTATAAAACCTATAAATGATAATATTAAAAGATTGTTACATTATTTATATTAAATATGTAATAACTATTAAATTGACTTTCTTAATATCATAATAAATAATGAATATCACTTCACCTCATATAATAAAATTCTATATTATCTAACATCTTCAGAATTATTGACTAAAAAATATCGCTACTATTTCATTTAATCACTTTATCTAATCTTTTTTGGATTAACTCTTGTCATAAAAATTGCTGAAAATTTCTTATTCTAAATTTCAATAGGCGATGCAAAACCTTTATTTATACAAACATTAAACTAATCAGAAAAGTATATTCCATTTCCAACCCTAACTTTGTTTCCAAATTCATCAGTACATAAATCATTTTAATGAAGACTCCTTTCTCCTGGTTTTAAAGTAGTCTTTATTATATCATTTACGTATTCGTTATTTGTTCCATGAAATAATATTCTCCATTCATCTTTGTTACCATTCATTTTTATCCAATTTTAATCTTCTCCATATTTGTCAATATTTAAACCATAACCTTAACATCCTTTTGGAAAATAATATTCATAACGATAATTTGGAGGTCCTCTTTATTCAGAATCTTTTATACTATTCCAAGTCATATTATACCTGTGGTCAAAATCTTCGAGTGTTATTCCTATCTCTGATTTTTTTTTTTTATTGCATTCAACAAAATAATTATAAATATCAATTTTCCCATTACAATTTTGTTCAAAAAATTACATTAATTCTGGATCATTATTTAAGTCACCTTTTCTCTAAATTTTGAATGATATAATGCTACTTCCTTTTGTAATATCTAAGATAACAACATCAGATGAACTAACCTTCCAAATTTTAGAAACATTTTCCTTAAAATTTAATAGATATTATTCTCTAAACATTATATCAGATATTAATTATTAATATTCCACTTCTGTTGTTCTGAATCTAAGACAATATTAATCTTAACCAAAAGCACCTATTATAGAATCAAAACCACAAGAGTGTATCCCATCAGTCATAAATATTTCTCTATTTTAATCTCTTGCTAAAGATTCTTTTAATACATAAAGCATAAGTTCTTAATTATTTACTTCTATTTTTTGATCAATCTATGATATTTTTATTGATGAAACATGTTAACTTTATCTTAAAACTTACATTAATTATAATTTCAATCTGCTCTTTCTATATTTTCTTTGGTCTTCATTTATTTCATCTGAGATGTGATCTAAGGTTTATATTTCTTCTTATAAATGTTCTATTTATTCTTTAATAGTGTGTATATTTTTGAGTTTTATTTCGCTTTAAATATTATATTAAATGAAGGCAAAATTATCATTATTACTTTTATTTTATTAAACAATCTCAATTTTGGATTTTTTTGCATTATTTTATTTAAAAATTTCACTTGGATTAGACATTTTAATACTTTTTATTATTATGATAGAATTATGAAATATTTAATAAAATTAACTAATTTCATATAAACACATTTTTATATCATTCTTAGTAAAATATGAGAGCTATACGCCTAAAACTCCATATTTACAAATCAATTAAATTTCACTCATCAATAAGCTTATCAAAAATTAATTTTCAATTATTGTTAAAACACTTTTAATAGACTTAGAATAAAATCAACTTATTATTTCTATACCAATAAACCAATCTTCTTAAACAATATTTAACATGAAATCTAATTTCATTTATTAATTTTTTATTGATTTTACATTCAATTTCATAACTTCAAAATAACATTAATAATAAAAATAATATAATCAATAGTTTAATTTTAATTAATCTAATAATAATTAAAACTATATATGTCTAAATCTAGAAATTAAAATATTTTCAATGATGACAACATTTTCTTTCATATTTATTCATTTTGACTACATAACAATCTTATTTTTATCAGATCAATTTTTGATGTCATTTTCAATGAGATGTATTTATTAATATAAATTATAAATAGTAAAATAATAATTAATAAATTTTCTTAGAAATGTAAAGAATTACAATACAGTAATAGATTTTACAATAAAAATATTGAATTAGTCTAAAATAATAATATTTTACTATTAAAATAAACTCTATACTTTTTTAATATGAAATATGATTTTTCATAATCAAAATTTGAAATTATGATTTGAAAAAGGAATAAATAAATAAATTTCTTTAAATTATTAAAATATAGTAAGAAGTATTATAATTCTTGATTTAATAAATATATCTATCACCAATTATAAGTTTTATTATTTGATTAATTATAAACATACAAAAGTGATATTTTATTAACTAAATATTTGTAAATTTAATCAAAATTATAAATACTTAACTGGTTCGTTCTATTTAACTTTCTAAATAAGATTCAATAATTCTATATTTTTATTTTATTCTAAATAATATTAACTAGATTGATTAAATAAATCCAAACTTAAATAAAAATATTCAAAACAATTTTGGTTAATTGAAAGTAGATCAAGTTATTTACCACAACCATGATTTATATTCTAATTATTTCTTTTTTTAATGTATTCTTTAATATATTATTATTCATTTTAATACTCTTGAATTGATATATCATTTTTAGTATTAAATAATTAAATAGTTGTCCAAAACTAATCATCAAATAGACTCTTATCTTCATCTTAAACAGAGATTCCACAAAAATGCATATTATTGCTATTAGATTGACAATACCAAACTAAACAACAATTCTAGCAAACTTTTAAGGAATTTATTATAGAAGCTTAATTTTTTGATAAATAAGATAATGCTTATTAATTAAGTTATTTAATTTCTAAATACCAATCTTGTTATATCAAATATTCAACTAACTTTTCTACTGAATCAAACCAATCTATATTAAAAGTTTCCTAATATTATTAATTATTTGATATCTTATTTAATTATTATATTATTTATTTTCTTTCTTATATTAATAATTAAGTGTATATTTTTATTTCATTTTAGACCTTAAAATAAATGTCATCTGCATCTACTGATTATTCAAACAATTATTATGAAAATTTGAATTTATTTGAAATCATTTTTCTTAGTTTAGTAGAAATATTAGATATTTCTTCCATTAATTAAAAAACATCTTCTTCTAATTCAGGTTCATCAAGTAAATCAAAATAATTTAAAAATTCTCCTTAAGTAATTTCTACTTATATTGGTATTGAATTCATTAAATATTAATTAATTTAATTACAAATAGACTATCCTGAGTCAGATTATTAAAAAAATAAAACATTTTATATTCCAAATTTTTTCATCTCATTTTGTATATTTTATTAATCTATTTATTATTATTTACATTGATCAAAATGAGTAACAGCAACAATAATAATTTTGCGATATCTACGTAATATTATAATTTATTTGATTAATTATTTTACCATTAATTAAAGCAGTTCAAACTTTAGAATTATAATAATTTTGTTTAATGGTTTTTCTTACATCGCATTCCAAATTCCTACTGCATGATTAATTTTTTTTTATTAAGTACCTAAACCTGGAGTATCAATTATATAAAATTCATTACTGTAAACTGATTTACCTAGAATAGATTACCTATTAAATTTATTTAACATAAAATTACTTTGTTATTGATCTCCTACCTTCACCTACATTTTCTTAAGTATTACAAATTTTATTGAACAAAGTCGTTCTACCTGAACCAGTCATTCCAATTAATACAACAACAGGCTTCTCTTAATTTTTTTCAGAATGATTTTTTTCATCTTTTTAAGATTTGTTTTAATTTTATAATTATTATTATTATGGTATAAATGTTGTTTGATATTATTATGAAGCTTATATAAATTAATTCGATATTTCATTTATGTTGTTTTATTATTCGATATTGTTATTTTCATCTTATGATTTCATTAATTTAGATATTTATTGCTCTAATAATTGCTTTCTTTATTCTTCTATTTTATATTTTGCTTTAAGTTCATTCAATTAATCAAATACTTTTTAATAGTCTAAATCCTTTTTTGTCAATTAATTTATGTTATCGTAAAGTTATTTTTCAATTTCAGTTTTTTCTTATTATGACTTCAATAATTTATCATTAGTTTCCTTATTCTCTGTTTATAAATATTGAGAATGCTCTGTAATTTACTTATTTTTAATTTTTAATTGAATTACTTTCTACTATAAATCCATAATTTAATTATTTGCTTGTTTATTTTGTGATTAAATTTTTTATTCTATAACTTTAAAATTAATTAAATCTTAATTGTATTAATTTTTCATTTTCTCAAATTCCGTAACTATATTATTTTTATCATTTTATAATTAAGTAAATTTATTTTAAAGGTCTGTATGTTGAACTTAAATTTTACTCAATTCTTATTCAATCTTAATTTTATCATTAATTATACTTGTAGTTTCTAACAAAGTTTAATCTTAAATCAATTTGATTTAATTTTCCATTTCATATTTAAAATTAACTTAAGTTTTTTGTAAAAGTTCTTTTAAATTATTTAATTCATCTTCTTTTATCCTTATCCTATCTTCCATTTTACTCTTTTCAATTTTCATCATTTATTTTTCATCTTCTAATAGATTCTTTTTCTCTTCAACTTATTTTAATTATTCAAGGTATTTTTAATTTAATTATAGATAATCTAAACAAATTTTCAAATTTTAATTTGCTTTCAAAAGAGAGTTTTACATTTTTTAATATCCATCTAATTAAATTTTATATTCTAAAAAGAATGAATAAATTTTTGATATTGCTTTTATATAATTTTCATTAAAAGTGCCAACAAACATCATTATTTAATATAACATATATACATCACCTTCAATAAATCTTTATAATATTAAATTAAAATTTTCTAATTTTTTTATATTTTCATAGACTTCTTAAATTTTTTAAGTTTAATATTGTTTGTATTAAATATCTTTCAAAATTTAGAATAAACTATCAGATAACTCTTAACTTGCATTATCTATAAAATTATTCACATCTTTATAAATATTTAGATCATAAGGTTTCATTGATATTACTTTAGAATTAATCAGTTCCATCCACATCTTTTTTCTGTATTCATTTGAGAGATACTTTTCTATTTTTTCTGTTTCATCAATATCCCTTTATACAATCAATTAATGTGCTTATTTTTTAAATTTATTTATTAATTAAGATTAGAAATCAGCTATTAATTATTCATCTGTTCTTTTTTTACTATAAGAATTGATTATTACTGTTAATTTGCTTAAATCTATATCAGCTTCATTTATAAAATTTTATAAATCTTCTGCTTTATTTTAAAATTAATCACCTGGATTTAATAGAACATATACTATTTTCATTTTACTTAAAGAAACTATTTTGTTAAAAAATAATTGAATTTCCAATTAATCTTTGCCTTCTGTATCATTAAAACCAGGATAATCAATAATTGAATGTTCATACTCTTAGTCATAATAAATTTTAGGTGTTTTAGTAGTTGAATCTAATCCACCTTTTATTTCTTGATATTTATCTGATTTTGAAAGAAGTTCAAGATTTCTACTTCCATATTCATCTTCACATAATTAAAATTGGGCTCCACATAAGAAATTATATATTGTGCTTTTTCCACAACCTGTTTTTCCAATTAACATTATTACATTATCTTAATTTTAAAATGAAAAATCATCTAATTGTCTTTCTATCTTTTCTATTATCATCATTAATCTTTATTATTACTCTTCTTTTTGTTTTTCAAACTGATTTTAATCCATATAATAAATAATATATTTAGTAAATATAAATTATTAGATATTTTAATCATATTTATATGAAAAATGTAATTCAATAATTTTTTTTTCTTTTATTTATAATGATTATTGTTTATAGCAAATAAAGATTATAAATTTAATGATATTTTTAATAAATTGATTATATTAAAGATATGATATAAATAATTACATCATAAATTGTATATTCTATTGAAATTATTTAAATTTATAAAAAAGTAGTAATATAGAAATTATTTCAATTATTTAATATTTCATAAATTTCATATTTGTTTTTTTCTGCACCCCAAAATATTAAATATTATCCATTATTTGTTATTGTTCCATATATACACTAATGTTTACAATCAAATTCCTAAATAATTTATAATTATCCATCATTTTACACTTTAAGTAAACAAATATGTTGTAGATGTCTTAAACATATTAAATTTTTATCTTCATTATAAATTATTGGAAAATTAAATTCATTTAAATATCCTTAATTTTTTTTAAAATAAACTCTCTTTTAAAAATTCTCCTTAAATTCACCATCTTAATATTCAAATACACACAAGTTATTACTTTTTTCAGGTAACCAAATAAATTAATTTTCTTTTAAAAATTTAACATGACATCCAATCTCTTATAATGTTTACTTAACAACTGACAAAAACTTCCATTTATTATTTTTTCCATTCTACCAGATTATAATTTAATCAACTCCACTTGAAACCATTATTTATTCTGATTAATTTAAACTTAAAGAATATATAATACCAGTATGTTTTTCTAATGAATATAGATATCTCAATTAATCATTATTAAAATCTACCATCCATATTTTAATTGATTTGTCATTACCACATGAAATTAATTAATCTTCTTTTTAAGTTAAAATAACACAATAAATCATTCCTTTATGCTCATTATATCTTTTAGAACTTTACCATTTATTATTCACATATTTCCATAATCTAATTGACTTATCTGAAGAGCCAGAAATAAAAAATTATTATATTTAACTATAAACTAAACAATTAACAAATTCTTAATGTTCTTAAAGTGTTTAAATTAAATTAATTTTACCATTATCAAAATTCCAAATTTTAATCTCCTTTCCACTTGTTGATACCATTATCTTTCCTTTTGGATCAAATACAATTGCTCTACAACCTTCTTTTTATTCAATTGAATCATCAATATATTATAATGTAAATTGGTTTTATTATTATTCTTATATTGATTAATTTAGATTACTCAATATTTCATTACATATTTAGTATTCTGAAAATGATTGAAAAAATTAGAAATGATTTCTAATTTTTTTTATCCAACCATCATTTAATAGCTTAATCTAATTTTTAAATTATTTATGATCTTCCTTATTTTATTCATTCATTATTATTAAATTAATCTCTTTAAAAAAACTATACTCAGTGTATTATTATATTATTACTTCTAAATTTTATATCCAATTATTTGTGATGTCAAGTAAATAATCTAATTTTTAATTAAGATTAGACTTTAAAGAATATATTTCGATTTACAAAGATTCTACTTTTTTAATATTCTTTGTAATTGTATTTTCAAAATTTGATAATAAATTCTTTCTATTATCTTCAATAATATTAATAGCTTTCTATAATCCAAATAACTTCGCAAAACCAAATTCAATATTATCAATGCATTTTTAACATAAAAGTCTTCCATTTACATTTTATTTAGAATCTAGTATAATCATTGTGACAGGTAATTCATGTTTCATGTAACAATTAAAATCCTTCTCATTTTCAATCATTTTAGGTTTGTACATTATTAATTTTTTGAATAGCTTTTATTTATATTAAAAATTTTTTATTTATATTATCAAAAATAAGACTTAGAAACATTTCTTCAAATTTATGTTGAACTTAATCTAATTCAACTATTTATTTCCTTTTAAAAATAAAATTAACTTTATAGATCCCTTATGAATATTAATGAATAATTAATAAATATATAAGAGTTAATATTATTTATAAAATATGAATTATAAATTTTAATAATATTTATTGAATCATATATTTTAAAGTATTTATATAATAAATATATTAAGATCGCTGTTTTTTTCATGCAAATTAATATTAGTTTATATTTTACCAAATATTAAATATTTAGACATATACATTATAGTTTTATATA